GGCATATGCTCTCCATACATGTACCCTGTTTTTACATTCAACAAGAAACAATACTTTAGCTTCTTTAAAAAATCTACAAAACTTATATAGCATTATATTTGTGTGGATGTGTGTCATTGTGTGGATGGATTTTGTTGATTTTAAAGAAATCAAAGCAAGTGTTAATTCTCTCTTGTTAAATGTAAAAAAGAAAGAGGTATATGCATAGAGGGCACAGAACCCTGTGCCCTGCTCCGAGTTTCTGATTCAGTGGGCCAAGGGGACATCAGAACCTGCATCTCTAAGAAACTGCCAGGTGTTGCTGGTCCTGTCACGTTGCGGGCCTTGCTCTGAATAACACTGGGCCAGACAACGTAAGAGAATCAGCTGTGAAAACACAAGAAGGGAAGTGGGAGGATGAAACAGGGAAAGACTACAGTACGTATTCTTCGTGGGTCAAATCATAGCCCTCACAAGAAGTGTCCATCAGGAACCTCAAAATGTGACCATATTTGAAATAAAAATCTTTGTAGATATAATTAAGGTAAGGATTTCAAGATGAGATCACCTGGATTAGGTAGGCACTAAATCCAATGAGGAATGTTTTTCTAAAAGACAGACTCCTATCCTGTAGAGCTGTAAGGTAGTAAATGTCTTATTTTTTACCAAGTTTGTGGTAATTTGCTATGGCGGCCTTGGGAAGCCAGTACACTGCTGAAGTCCAACCATACCAAAGTGCCAAGTTCCCTGTCATGTGCTCCAGGGGGAGAAGATGGAATCCTGACAGTGACCCAGTGGACTACATCATTCAACAAGACACCGAATCGCAGAATGCCCATTTAATCGGAAATTATTTATTGAGTGCCTATACCAGGCTTTGCCAGATACTAGAGTGACTTAACCAAAAGTGATATAGCCCGTAAGTGTCAGCATTCAGATCGTGATTCTGTCCTTCCAAATGTGGTGCTTTTCTCCCCCACATCATCTCCATCAAAAGCTCAGAGCAGGAAAGCATAGGACATTTTGTCAAATACTGACTGGTTCATTTTGACAGCTGTGGAATAGTTAACAAAATAGAAGAGGAACTTACTATCTCCAACACAAACCTTTCTTATTCATGGTGATGTTTAACAGTCTTTCTATTAATACCTATAAAGTAGTTTGCACTTTGTTACCTTAATCTTATTTTTTGTTGTAGTAACCCTTTCACCTTCACACACAAATAATGCAGATAATTTAAGCTAATCTTTAAAAACAAGATGGAGATAACAGCTTTACATCATCTTTGGAGATGTAGGTCAATGATATAGATAACAATATTTATCTTCTATATGCTCTTTATCATGTTTTGATGCTAAAGACTCAATGTTCTTCATATATATTTTATATATATAATATATAAATATATAATATCATATAATAGTGTGTGCATGTGTGTGTGTGTGTGTGTATGGTCTGTCCAGAAGGTATCCAGCCATATAATATGAAAAATAGAGACATTTATTAAAGAAGATACAAGATACAAGAAATACTGTACATAGGACAAAGACGCCTCAGTCCCCTTCAAAGTAGGCACCTTGGGACCTCAGCTGCCCCGTTGTATTTTCCTGAATCTCATCAATGGTCTGAAACCTCTTCCCTTTCAAAGGCAATTTCAGTTTTGGGAAAAGTCAGAAGTTGCAGTTCACCAAATCTGGGCTGTAGAGAGAGCTGAGTCACCTGGGTGATTTGCTGTTTTGCTAAAAAACTGCACAAGATGTGAAGTGTGAACAGGTGTGTTGTCATGATGAAGCTGCCAATCACCAGTTGCCCATACCTGCGGCCTTCTGAATCATCTGAACAGTGTCCGAGGAGGACTGTTCAAGCTTAACACAAAAATTGATGCAGATTCATTGCTCTGCCGGCTCAGTCATTTTGAATGCGACAGCCACACAATGCGAATGTTCACTCAATGGCATCTGCTGCTCCCACTGGCTAGTACAGGGAAGTTGTCATTGTTTACACATGTGCATTCCAGTCCACTCTCCTTGGCTGCCAGGTTTCATGGATGTCACATAAACGGTTCTTATTATTTAACAATGGTTGGACTTCTTCCAGACCGGCTTAATATATATATAATATGTGAGCACAAAAAGCTGAATCAAAATAATATATATTATTACATATAATTAAATATATATAATATATGTATAACATAATGTATAATATATAATATAATTATATAACAATATTATATGATATAAGATATGTAATGTATATTACATATTTTATAATGTATAATATATATATCTCTAGTCCTAGAAAAAATATTCTGAATATTTCCTTGAGGTTGAAGATCACAAAAAGAAGAACACTTAGTCTTTAGCCTCAGCACAGTATGAATCCTTTTAGCGTTCTATAGAAACTTCCCTTGAATGAGTATTAAGGTAGTTGAGCTATTTAATAATGCTTTGAGAATTGTAAAATTCAGTCTTCATCTCACAGTAAATACTTTTGAATGTACAATGTAAATGTCACTCTGCTAGCTGCTAAACATATAGTAAATTTAAAAAATTGTTTCTACCTTCGCAGTTTAGACGCTTGATTCAAGATCAGTAAACTCAGTATCAGTGAAACTGAAAGAATTAGGCAAAACAGGCTAAGAAAATTATCACTTTAGCAAGTTAAAGTGAAAAGATAAGAAATAAAAGAAGCTAACAAACATATTGAGGTGAGAGTTGCTCTGAGCTGTTTTAGAAGTTGAGGGTAAATTGTATGAATTGGTTGAAGGCCTAAGTCACCAACAATGGCAGTACAGAATTGACAGTAACATTGTCACCATTTTTTCCTTATGCTGATATTTCTTTTTCCTACTTTACTCCCAACATTGTTTCATTAATTAATTCCATAGACACTTCATGTGCACCTACAGCACGCAAGGTATGGCATGGAAACAAAGTGTATCACCCAGTGGGAAGATAAGTCTTGTCTACAAATGCTAAAGTGTGAGGCAGGGGCCCTGATCTGAATGACATAGATCGTGACTCTTTGCAGGAAGGTTCATGGGAAAAGGTGAATTCTTTTATATCTATGAGTTGATGACAAATTTATTCAGCTATCTTTTGGGGTTTGATTTCTTATTTTACTGCATTTTAATAAATATGGTCTGTTAGAGATTATTTTAATATTTTTGAAAGTTCCATTGTGACCCAGTAAGTGGTCAAATTTGTAAATCTTCTAGGCTTAAAAACAGTGCCTATTCTTTAATTATTAAATGCCAGCTTCAATATGTATTTATTAGGTTCAATGTACTTTTTTGTTGTGTTTGAACTCTCCTGTTTCTTCACCAATTTGTGTTTGCTTTATTATTTTTTTATGAGAAGAAAATTAAAATACACCATTTTAATTGTAGATTCATCAGTTTCTACTTTTAATTGTTTCACTTCATATTTTGAAGGCTAAGATTTTAGGTATATACAAGTTCAGGTATATTACACTTTCTGGGTGGATTTTTTTAAACCATTAAGTAATAACCCTTTTATCTTTGATTATGGTTTTTGCTTTCACATCCATTTTTTTCTAACAGTATTATTGCTACATTGGGTTCCTTTTGTTAATAGTTATTGACATAGTGTGTTCTATATCCTTTCTTTCAATTTTTCCATGTCACTAAGTTTTTTTTAAATTATACTTTTGTTGAGATACAATGTATCCAGTCTTTTAAAGTGTACAATTCAGTGGATTTTAGCATATGTACAGTTGTGCAACCAATACCACTATCTAATTTTAGAACATATTTTCATTACCCCAGAAGGAAACCACATACCTGTTAGCAGTCACTGCTCATTTCTCACCTCCCCAGAGTCCCTGGCAACCACTAATCTACTTCTTCTCTATGGATATGCCTTTTCTGGATGTGTCAGATAAATGGAATTATACACGTGGCCTTTTGTGTCTGACATTTCTGACCTTTCACTTAGCATAATGGTTTCAAGATTCATTCATGTTGTAGGAAGTGTCTTTACGTCATTATTTTTTTTTTCTCACTCAAGGACATGTTTATTGATTTTAGAGTGGGGGAGGAGGGAGAAAGAGGGGCGGGGGAGAAACATTGATGTGAGAGAGAAACATCAATTGACTGCCTCATATATGCCTGACCAGGAACTGAACCCGCAGCCTAGACATGTGCCCTGATGGGGATCAAACCTGTGACCTTTTGATTTACAGGATGACACTCCGACCAACTGAGCCACACCAGCTGGGGCCTTACTTCATTATTTTTAAGGGCTGAATATTATTCCATTTTAGGGCTATACCACATATTATCTATCCACTGATGGATATTTGGGTTGTTTCGACTTTTTGGCTATTATGAATAATGCTGTTAAGAATATTCATGTACAGTTTATGTAGGGACATATTTTTATTTCTGTTGGGTAGAAACCTAGGGATGGAATACTGGATCATAAGGTAACTCTACATTTAACATCTTGAGGAACTTTCAAACTGTATTTCAAAGTGGCTTCACCGTTTCACATTCTCAATAATGTATGAAGGTTTTAATTTCTCCACGTTCTTCATTGTGTCTTTGCTTAGTCATTAAAACCTCAGTCCCAAGTCCTTTTGAGCCTCTCCTGGTACACATTCCTTGTGGGATTTCACCATGTCAGTTTCCCTCTATAGAGCTATGCATTCCTCATGTTTCTGGCACATGAATATTTTTTTCTTTCTTTAATGGCCATATAAGTATTAAAACGTAAAACTTGTTTTGCTTTGTATTTTTATGTATATGTGAAGGTGAGGAACCTGGATGTGGGGGATAGGTGTTCACCTGAATCAGTCTCCCATTCCTGGAAGTTGAGCAGATCAGTGCATTTTTAATGGCTATGAAGTGGCTGACTTAGAGCTACAGGTGTTGTTTAGGGCTATAATCCAGAGTTTTTCTTCTGAGCTGAATTACTGGGTCCATATAGAATCCACTATTAAACCGAGCTCATCCAGTCCCATATGAGATGTCTCATCTTTTTGTTGTTCTTTTACAGATGCCAATTTCCAAAAACAATACTGAAAAGATAAAGCCCAAATTCAGAAAAAGGAAGAGGTAATGTTGTTTAATTAAACAGCATTATGATAAAATGGAAATATATATTGAATTTACTTATTACATGACATTTTCTCCTGACTCTTGATTCTTTTTCTCTAGGGAAACATTGTGTTTAAAGTTTTCTAAAAGAATTAATAGAATGATAAGTAGCAGCCGTAGAAGTATGGAGAAAGCTTGATGTTTAGACAAATATGTTGAACCAGAACTTTCAAAAATTAATGTCATGTGTGCAACCAGATGAAAAGCAGGTTTTTAGTTTAAAATAGGTACTGCAAATCAGAAACAGGCCTTTATAATGAACTAATAAGCCAATGATGACAAGTTTAATGTTTATCATTGAATCAGCCAGTTTACTTATTTACTTATTTGTAATGAATGGTAAACAGTATTGTGTTAGAGAGAGTCCAACTCAAAGATTCAAAGATAAAGACTAACTCTAATATGATAGTCTTTTTTCTTTGTCCTTTTTCAGAAGATGAATAATAAAAGTTTTAAAAAGGACTCTAATTGCCTTATCTCAGTTACACTTCCCAGTAACCCCATCAAAATAGATAGGGGTGTATCATAATTATCTCCACTTAAAGAACTCGTGGCTTAGAGAAGCTAAGTGGCTTTCTCAAGATCTTATGGTTAGAGAAAATGAATTTGGACAAATGTTTTCTGACTCTAAATCAGCAACACAGTGTAGTGGAAAAGCACGGCTTTTTAAAAGTCGGACAGAATTTAGGTCTGTCATGCTCAACCATTTACCTCTGCTGTCAAGCTTCTCAGTTTCTCAGTGTCAGGTTTTTTCTTTCTTTCTTTCTTTCTTTCTTTTTTTTTTTTTTTTACAAAATGGGAGTGACAATTAGTTAGTACGTCTCTGGGGGAAGGATTACATGAACAAGCCTATGTAAGGTGCTTGATAGGTCATTAGTGCTTTTCACCTAGTGAGAGCTCAAATCAATACTACTCCCCTTTGGTTTTTTACTGTATTATGCTGCCTTACAGTATAAAACAAGAAAAAGTACTTCAAGATAAATATATATTCATAATTAATAATTACTAACGCATATACATGAATGATCATTTAAATATACGTGATTGATCATTTGAAACTGTATCTGTCACATTCTTTTTCCAGGAAAGCTATTTTAAAATGCTCTTTTGAAAATGTTTGTTCAGATGATGTCCTATCAGAGGAAAACATGGGTAAGTTCTCCTTTCAGCTCTTTTACATATATTTAATTCTACCAAATATGGTTGCAGTCCTTGGAAGAAGAAAATGTTGTGTATATATACAAATCTGAGAAACATTAGTGGGTTATTTTTGGTATTGATTTACATACTAGGGCTTTTCGGTTGTCTTTACATTTCTATCCCCCTGAATTAAATTTTCTCTGGTTTGAACCAGAGAGTTCTGGTATTTAATTTTTTAAAAAATAAAGCACCATCAGTTGTGGGAAGGAATACCAGCATCAGTTCGTTTCAGTCCAGAACTCTCCCTTCCAAATGTCTTGGGGTCCTGGGGGTGCCAGAGGGAGAGAAGGAACGGCAGCGGCCTGGGGCTTCTCGCCGTGGGTGTTAGAACGCAGTGGGGTGAATGAGGAAAGTGGGGAGAAAGTGGTAGTTTTAAAAGTGCTTTACTCTTTGTACATTTTAGTGAGTCTTAAAAAGCAGGCAAATGCTATTTGCAAGGTGGAACTTTGGCAGCCATGCGGAGAGGTTTCAAAGCACATTGAACCCCCAAAAGGTATTCGTGCCACACTCCCTGTCTCCTGCAGCCCCCCCGACCCCCGCATCGGATGACACTGTTTTTCCATTGGCAAAATAGCCATTTATTAATAGCCTCATTAAAAGAAAGAAAAACAGGCAGAAGAAGGCTGGGCTAGCTTTTTTTTTTTTTTAAATCCTTTGTTCTTCTAAACTATTACAAAATTCTACTGTTTCTATTTCTTAAAACTTTGGCTGCTTCTGTCCTGCTAACTCAGGTGCCCTTTCTTCGCTAGTTTGTCTCTCTGCCTCACGAGAACAGTTGAAATATTCCTGTAGAAAGGCAGAGTCAGCTTACCCTAGACGGAGTTCCTGTCAGGAGGCCCTGACACTGCAGCCCAGGGCTCCATTGTCACGGGGACCCTTCTCCTCTTGACAGGAAATGACTCTCCATGTGAATGAGTGAATACATCTCTGGAGTTATTCATGTAAAGGGAAGCCTGTGCAGGGGTCTCACACTCTGTATGGTTCTGTAAGTCTCAATAGTTAATTGTTAAAATAGTTAACCCAATCTGTGTTTACTCCTCCACGTTATTTTGAACACCTAAAGCACAGAAACATCTGGTCTTAACTGTGTTCTTTGCAAGAGCTGACTACCTATTGAGAGAACAGTTCTTTGATAGTCATTTAGCCCTCTTCCTATATTTACCTGCTACTCATATTTCTGTGGATTCCTAGATCCAAACTTCCAATATCTCTCATTTCTTCTTAAGATAGAATCAACCCCCGATGAGGTAGTAGAGGAAAATTATACCACCTTCTTTGGAATCTCCGAAAGCTGTAATTTTTGGATCATCTTTCCTTACACTCCCAGTGCTAAAGTCTGCTATAAGTCTACTGCTCCAGATTTGCTGTGCCTTTCCGAATTTTACGCTCTACTGATGGTTTCTCTGCACCCTCCCCCACACATCTTGGTTAGAGATCAAGAAGAGAGCTTGTGAAGTGCAGCTACTTTACCTCTCTAACTCTATTTCTTCATTTGTAACAAAGAGAGGCAGTGGAAGCCAGCTTGCCCAACAGAGGACGGTTCCTGGAAATTAATTCTGTGAGGCAATGAGACACAATAGTCAAGAAAAAGTTGAGGAGTCATTAAATAATTTAAACTGTATGCCCATGGCTGTATAAAGATTTAATATTAAGATATAACTATTTGTGGAACATATCTGCATTTTTTTGAAAATTGATACCAGGAATATCATGTATTATACAAGATGGAGCAAAAGTAGGTTTACAGTTGTTTGTATGGAATATAATATGGTAATTAATAAATAATAATACAAGAATAAACACTGTTTTTCATACAACTATAAACCTACTTTTGCCATACCTTGTATTTGTATTGTCCCCAAAGCTCACTTCCCCCCCCACAAGAAAATTAATCTATGATGATGAAATTATAATAGCAATAATAATAATGATAACCAATATGTATAACATTTCTATGTATTCTCACTGTCTTAAGTATTTCATATATTTAACCCTTACAAGATCTGTATGAGGTAGATAAGGTAGATGTTATAGCTCCCATTTTATCGATGAGAAAACGGCGGCACTTAATAGGTTATTTGACTTTTCTAAGGTCCCATTGTGTCTTCGTTAATCAAAGGGTGCAGCTATTTCTTTAGTTGCTTTGAATACCAGGAAATTTAAAGCTGTTATTATTAGTATTTTGTATAGCACTGGAAGTTGATCTAAGGATTTTTAAATGTAATTATTGCCATTAGCACCCTTTAATGAATTGATTTTGATTCTTTTAGTCTGAGTTTCTGTCCTTTTTTAAATTGTATCACTATTTGCTGTTGGTAAAGAGCTCATTTCTTTTGGGCAAGTAGACAGTCTATAAAAGTGTGATTAAATAAAACATTGACGTATTACCCAGGACAAAATAAAAATCTAGTAGCATTAGTTATTAAATTAGCAAAGGTTGAGTTCCTCAGCCAGCCAGGACACGTAAGCATGGGAGGGGATGGTTAACCTAGGAAAGGTCTGGATAAAGGAGTGAGCCCTAGAGGGAGCATGAAGACCTTGGGGCCTGGGTCTGGGAGGGGTGACAGGGAGAAGGGTGGTATCTTGCTGCTTAAGACAAACCATGCCTCTTGGTCTGGAGACACTGTCACCATTAGGCCGAAGGTGCAGCTGGACTTCATGCCCCTTTCACTAAGCCTTGTACTTCCTATTTCTGTTTGTGTCTCCAGCAGTGGTGCTTTCTTCTTCGTTACATTTCAGCCTGTATGTTACTCATCTCTACATTTAACTGTACCCACAGAGAGGAGTGTTTGTGATTACTTAAAAACAAAATAGAACAACAAAAAAAGTACCTTTTCCTCCTTCTCCCCCTCCGCCTCTGTAAGAATACTTTCAAAACTTCCACATTGAAATGGTCCTGCAAATTTATTTAAGACGGTATTTTTTAGTGACAGCTTTGGGGTAACCCAAAAGCCTCTTTATGTAAGGAAGGAAACAGCTTCTTTAAATATTTAATAGAGAAGTAGAGATTAAAGAAAATTCCATAAATATACATTTGAATCCTTTTAAAATAGTGACTGATTTATTGACATGAACAGTACTTCTTATCAGGAATGGAAAAACAATTTGAGTTATTTTACAAAACTTCATTTTCAAAAGCCAGCTATGGACTTCAGTATGAGTTTGTTGTTTTTTGTGGGGGTTTTTTTTTTCACTTTCTCTGAGTGATGGAGCAGCTGTAATGCTATCACTTTGCTCTGAACAACAAATTCAAAGAAGCCAAGGAAACTACAGAATAATCAGTATTGATAGAAGATGATTGGTCATGCAATCAGCAAAGGCATTCATTCTGTCTCTCTCTTTGGAAGATATCATTGACCAGTTTTGATAACCTAGTTTGTAGATTATGGTAATTGCTCTTCCTTGAGAATTCTATTTGAACTCCATCAGTTCACAGTATAGGAATACCTATTTAGAAAAGTGAAACTCCTGTTGCTCTGGAAGCAGGATTTGACATCTGTCAAGTTGGTGTTATGAACCCTGGTTGATTTATGAAGTCATTCATTACTTTACCTACCCTTTGTTCAAAAAGCTGTGTACATACTTTTCCAGATTACTTGAAAACAGAGAGCCTACAATGCCATTCAGCAATGACATTCATTATCATAAATTGATTGTATTTTAGCATAGCTTTAGAAATATGAAGATGTTTGTGTGCCATTTTTCCTTTACAGCATAGCTCAAAATCCATCTTCTCAACAGTACATTAAATGTCAGTATCAATATCCACAGACTCAGAATGTAAAGTAGAAAAACACAACATCTGTGAGTGGGGCTGGGGAATCAGTGTGAAGTTAATCCACAAGTAGTTATTAAGTAACAGGTTACTAAGTGGGAAATTTGTTATACAGAGAGGTTAATTTTATCAACAGAATTACTTGAACAAAAATGTACATTCCTCTAGAGAATTCTGGAGATAGGGTATCATTCATATCTTTAGATAAACTCTCGGGGTGATTCTGATGCCCAGCAAATTTTGAATACCATTGTACTAGAATGTAATAGTTCATACTCTGGGTTAGCAGTCACCCTAGAACACAGATCTGTGTGGATGCAACTAACAGGTCAATTACAGTGTTTGCTTGTTGTTTTGTTTTGTTTTTTTTCAAATAAAGGAATAGGTTCTAAAGTGTGGAATGGCTTATCAGAAAGCTGCTTTCAAACAAACCATTTTGGAGGTTTTCCATGGAGAAAACCTAAGATTGGCTGGGAAGACCTGAGAGCCAGGAAATGTCATTGGCCTAGGGCTATTCTCTTGAATCCCTGGCCCTTAATAGGCACAGAATAAATATTTGTTGATTGACTATAAAAGTATTTGGGGAAGAGGCAACCCATCAATGTTTCTCTTTCACAATGACATTTCTCTCTCTCTGTTCTTCCCCCCTTCCTCTTTCTCTAAAATCAATAAAAATATATCCTTGGGTGAGGATTAAAAAAATACTTGGGGAAAGCAATAAATTTTGACAGAAAAACTATTTTTGTAGACAAAACTGTAATGTGAAAAATGTAAACTAAAAATTGCTCTTCCAGTACTATAGGGACAACCAGGAACAGAAAACTTTCTGTTTAATAACGTTCCATAACCTTATTTAACACCGTTATGTAATAAACAGTGTGTTAGCAGAATTTGAAAATTTCTTTTTTTCTTTTAAAGATTTTATTTATTTTTAGAGAGAGGGGAAGGGAGGGAGAAAGAGAGGGAAGAAAACATCAATGTATGGTTGACTCTCATGCACCCTCTACTGGGGACCTGGCCTGAAACCCAGGCATGTGCCCTGACTGGGAATTGAACCAGCAGCCCTGTGGTTCACAGGCCGGCACTCAATCCACTGAGCCACACTAGCCAGGGCTAAAATTTCTTTCTTACAAGTAATAGGTAAGAGAAAATCATCAATGAAGATGATAATAAAGTATGGATTCTTTTGACCTGGAGGAAAGGAAACAATGCATAAAACCATTCACATTAATAATTTCTGGTTTTTTGGGGTTTTTTTTACCTTACAACATGCTTAGTTTACAAAAATACCTGTGTGTGTGTGAGTGTGTATATATGGACATATATTTCATATGGATCTACATCTCACTCTTTTTATACATTAGTCAGAAAAAATTTAAATATATTCAACAATTACATTAAAAGTTAATGTTATTGCTCAGACGTGTTGCTTCCATATTCAGTGACAATATTTTAGCTCTAAAGGTCTAATTTCACACTCCATGAACTTTCTCAGCTGTTCCACCTAGTGTGATATTTGATGACTGGCCAGTGAATGGTGGATAATAGGAGGTGGTATGTCAGATTTTTGTAACTAGAGTGGAGGGTGAGGGGATGTGTATTCATGGCCTTTCTCTTTGAATCATGTTGCCTTTGGAAGGACTTCTCAGATGCTCCATCTGTCTGTTGTGCAGGACAGCAGGCTACACATGGCTTCCTTTCCCTGATCTTCACTTCAACAGACTCTTTATCAAATGACAATGTTTGTTTTATTTAAACCAGGAATTCAGTTGCATATTGTTAATTAGTAGTTGAGTCTGTAGAATTACAATGTTTTTTCTTTGATGGGGGGTATTATTTTATCTCAGCAAGTTCAGTGAATTACCAGATTTTTTTTCCTACTTATATATTTCTTTCATAGTAGCATACACACACAAGCATTTATTGAAGTTTGTTTTTCTTAAATATCAGATTAGGCAATTAAGATGTATTGATAATTTGGATTAGAAAAAGGCTAGTTTATGTCTAGCCTAGCTACTTGATCACATGGCTTCCCCCTTTTAAACAGTAGTTTTAATAGTTTATTGCAGAGATTGGTAAACTGTGGCCCACAGTCCTACCATTCACTGCCTGTTTTGTAAATAAAGTTTTATTGGAACATTGCCCCTCTCATTTGTTTATGTACATGTCCATGGTTTGCCCTGCAACAGCAGAATTGAGTAGTAGTGACAGAAACTGACTGGCCCTTCACAGGAAATGTTTTTTGACCTCTGGTTTATAAACAACATAATTTTCTTTGGAGTCCTTGGCTCCTGATTGAAAAAAAAATACAAAACTCTAGTGAGCTTTTATTGTTCTGGGGTATTTCATGTTCTACACATAGCAAGAATGTCACCTGCCTTTTTAAAGAAATAATTGTAAAATATTCACCTAGAAATCCATAATAATGTTGTATCAAGCAGAGGCCATTTGTGAAGTTTATACAAATATACTTATTTTTTATCTTGTAACATTTAGAAGATTTCCTCTTAATGGGTGGCTAAGATTGTGAATTAGATTGAATTAACATGCAGCATTTTTGCTATTTTAATGATGTTTCTTTAGTTGTCTCTGAGACAGAAGTTTTACTAAAAGAACTGGAGCAAATGCTACAGCAAGCTCTGGAACCCACAGTGCCACCAGACGAGTCTGACGAGGACCGTGGAGAGCCAGTAAATACAGGAGAAAAGGTAACGCTGATAGTTATAAATAACAACTTCAGATTCTTTAAGTGGCAGAAATTGTTCCTGGAGGTACATTGTCAGTATGTGGGAAACTTTTTTCACTTCTCAAATTTGAGCTTTTGATTATCATGAGCCGAATAGTAAATTAGTAGCCTGTGGAAAAATAAGAACACATCTATCAGTCTTTGCACAAGTCTCTGTGTTTCAGCAGCGGAGCTCCTTTCGCTGTAGGTCACTGAGGTTGGAAGGGGGAAGGTGGATGGGCCTTGCCGCCACCAGAGAGGCGCCCTCCCCACTGCCAGGCTCTGCCATGAGGAGAAGGGGCCAGGGTCAGAGCGGCTCTTGGGGAGACCTGCCTGTTTCATGCATAGGGACAACCTCCATTAATAAAATACTGGGGGTGGAATCTTTTATTGCAATACATTTCACCACACGTATTTAGACTTGTCCTTTTTTTTTCCTTTTGGCCAGTCATATTGGGCTGAGAAAGGCTACATGTGCTTAACTTTATTCAATACATATATGATAACATAAATTTAAACTTGTGGTTGAACTGTTCAGCACATTAGCTCCATGTATATACAAATAAAATAAAAGTACACACCTACGTCATTAAAGCAGAGCAGCAGCGGGGTAGGTGTGGAAGAAACAAGTCGTAAGGCAGCCACCTCCATAGGCAGGGCAGCTGTTCCCTGGGTGGGGAGGGGGACAGATGGCCGCGTGTTTTCCCGCATCCTTAGGGTTTCACTCATTCTCCCATCCGTTCATTAGAATATGGTGGGTCTGGAGTCGGGAGAGCACAGTGGCTCGAGCACCGACTCTTCGAGAGAAGGCCTGTGTCCCGCTCTTGGTTTTGCCTCTAAGGACTTGTGTAATTTGGCCACGTTGCTTATCACTTGCCTCAGAGGATTGTTTTGAGGGTTAAATAAGGCAAACCAGGGAAAGTGCTTTGCACAGGAAATGACACCTAAAGTTAGCTGTTATTACAGATGAGAACCGGCAATGGCAGTCACTAGAGAGAGTAAGTGCAAAGATTTCCTTACTTTATCTCTTTTTTCACATTCCCACTTTGAGTAACTTCCCATTCTTCACGCCCCGCCCCAACAAGAAACAGAAAACGGTGTATTTGTAAATGGATAAGGTTGTTTACACACATTGGCATGCTGCCCAATTGCGTGATTTTATTAAGAACTTCAACAAGAATAAAGCAGATTCTTAAACATTTCCTTTATTGAATTGGAAATCAAGAATATGTGCAGAATTTATAGTTAAGGAGATCAATGTGTTAAAAGAAAATAAAATTAATGTTAAATACTCTTACTGATTTGAAAAACATGATAGTTTTTTTAATCAGCACCAGGATACCAACTTGTATCTGAATTTGCATGGGTTGAAAATGCCATTTTTCCATTTAGAGTTCCTTTTTTAAAAAAACTTGTTTTTTATATCTCACCTGTTACAGAACAAGATCCATAGGTTTATAACACACACACACACACACACACACACACACACACACACATATAATTACTATACAATTTTTACTTTTCTAGCAAATGTGTGTTTTGTTTGAGCACCATATGGTTTTGTGCAATGTTTTTTCAGTCTTCGCAGTTTGTCATTTCAAAAATACAGCCAGGCTGATTTTTACAGAGATGTCCTGGAGCTTTTACAGCCAGAGTTGGCTTCTATTTTCCCACTATAACTAATAACTTGATAAAATAGAAAATTACTTCTGATTTTTATTTCTTAAGGTAAAATACATAGTTTTAATACATCACCAGGCAAGAGCTTCCTTTTTGTTTTAGATTCTTGTAGTATTATATGCTTTCAAAAGGCATTTAGGAATTGTAAAAATTAACCATTTTAACTTTCTGGCAGGCAGGTGAGTGCCGCCTGCTGACTGGTTTATAAGCCACTCTCCACACTGAGCTTTATTAAGTCTGGCATTCATGCAGGTTCAGGATATTTAGGGCCTTGTTCACTTTTAAATAAGGAGAATAGCAATGAAACTAACTATGAAAGCTGGAGTAATTTCCAATTTAAAAGTAAAGGAGTGATCAAGTGATCATCACCTCAAGAATTTCTTTTCTTTCTTTCTTCTTCCTTTTTTTTGTTAGTGGAAAAAATTAATGTGGCTTCCAAAGGTAACTTCACTCAGAACAGGAACTGTGTTTTGTTTTTAGGAAAAAGTGACCTCTTAATAAGCTAACACACCAAAAAGAACCACCTTATAATTTTAAAGTTCTGAGCAGAGATTGTTTGAGCTATTTTCAAAGTTGTAAAGTTGAGGGTGTTTTCATCATTCACTTCACATATAAATTTTCAAGTTGATTTCTCTCAAGCATTTTACTAATGGATGAGAGTAGCAACATGAAAATAAGGCATACACATGGATAGTCAAAATTCATTTCTATTTGTCACTGAAATACTTTATGAGTCACCTTCCTAATTATGGTCTTCATTAGCTAATATTAACACTGATTGACATGCCCTGACTTAGCAAGCAATGGGAGGGAATTAATTTCAGATTTTTATAAAATCCATCTGAAAAATTCACACATCGGATAATCTATTTACAGATAAAATTGTTTACTTAATAATTATTTGTATGCCATCCCATTTTGATATATGAACATACTTACATAATCTACATTTTTAAAAATATCATAGAATGTTAACTCTAATGGTCCTTGAAGCTCTAAATCTCCTCTGTGTGCGTTGTTTGCATCAGTGTCCTGTCTGCACCAGGGAGGCTCTCACTATTTGTAAGGAATGCACATGCCTATGAGATGACCACAGAAAGTGTAACTGGAACGGTTGTAAGTTGTATTCCTTATAATAGTAACTTTAAGAATAAATAAATATAGAAAACTCAGAGAATCTAAATGATCATGTTTTTCTAAAGCATGAAACTAAAAATGTGAAGCTTTGGGGAACAGACAGGACCTAAGTTGTCTTTATGCCCGCACGTTTGCTATGCATTACACTGTACATGGGAATCACATTTTGACCACCAGCGGAACAGAAAACTTCGTGTAACTGCTGCAGTCTGAGGAGCTGCCGACTGCTTTATGTTTGTTTGAATAATTAAGCCTAGTCTCTGAGTAAATGTGATGGAGTTCTGAGGAATTGTGTGATTGTTTTTGCAGTTCTCTCAGTGGAGCCCTGAAGCTTCTGCGAGCAGTCCGTCTGAAAACCCCTGCGAAGAGGACTGTGTTGTAATTGATGGGATAAAACTGAAAGCTGGAGAATGTATTGAAAACATAACTAACAAGTTTAAAGAAATAGATGCTCTGATGTCTGAATTTTAGGGCATTATAGATATTTTCAAAAGTAAATGGTAAAAACAAAGTCAAAAACTTAAAATGTTGAGTAAAACAGGTATATATGAGTATTATATCAAAATTGATTTTGTAATAACTTTCTGCTTTATCTTTTGAGAATATACATTGTTTTGAGATCCAATCAAATGATACCTGTTAAAAATTTAGAATTTAAGAAACCCTGATGTTTGTAGATTTCTTTCATTTGCCCTAATTTTAAAACAGTATGAAATTTACTGCATAAGTACATGCTTTACAATGATTATTTAAGCCCTTTATTCAAATGTGGCTGTTAAAATGGCTAAGTCTGTTAGAATTCATACAGATAATTCAAATCTGTTTAGAGAATGTGTATTTGTAGTGGAATTAAGCTACTATAAAATAAAAGGTAATATAAAAATGGTTATATAATAGAGTTGGAGCTTTTCTTAAAAAGTAAAGATGTCAATTGCCTTCTTATATTGGAAATAATTATTTCAACTACATTGCCCAAACTTGAGTAACAGCCTGTTGGAGGTTTTGAAAAGATCTGAATCCTGGACCCATTTCCGCTGAATCAGTATCTCTGGCGGTGGGGATGGTCAAATGTATTGATACTTAAAAGTATACACAGGTAAGTTAAACATATTCACTGTAAAACAAATCTTAGCCATATAGAAAAGCAAGCAGCGCATCATGCAATAACACCCTCTTAACATCTCCCCTGAAATCCCATTTTTTAGGGATTGCCTCCGTGGGTGTTCATCTAGGCCGTGTTCCACGCACATCACAGCGTGTGTATGTGCACATCCATCTCTAGTTCCAGGTCCGGCTCCACTTCTCTCCGTCCACCTCCTCTGGGGGTAAAGGGTAGAGAGAAGGGCATTCCGGGCACCTCAACACAAAAACCGAAGCCTGCGGAGAGAAGAAAACGCAGGAGAGCCCCTGGGACCAGCTGTGAGTTGAATGAGCGGGAGTGCAGTGGGCGGGTGAGAAGGCAGGCTCAGAAGGTGGGGGGCTGTGTGCAGGCTGAGGCGTTGATAACTGTCGGGACCAGGGGAAGGTTTAAACAGCGGGACCCCTTTTACAGTTCAGAGAAAGCTCATGAGCAGCAGGTGGAGAATGCACGGAGAGGGAGTCACCTTGGAGTCCGGGGACCAGTCAGGAGACGATTTTGGGAATCCAGTTGTGGGATTATGAGAGCCTGAAGCGTGGTGGTGCTGTGATGGAGAAAATTGGATATGTTCAGGCTAAATTAACATCAATAAATTACCAGGCTTTAGAGACTGGATATAGGGATGAGACAGTGGGGGGAGTTAAGGACGATTCCAAGTTTCTCCTGCTCATAATACGTGCAGGTCAGACGCGTAGGACGAATATCAAGTTTGGGCCAAACTATGTGCCTTCAGCAGAGATTCTAAGATCTTCATGCTTTGACAAAGCCTGCATTTTGATACCATTCTAGGACAAGAGTGACTAGAATAGTTTCTCAGCATGTCACATTTAAATTCTACTTGGTATAAAACAGCGAAGATTAGGCTTCCTTTTTTTTCTTCCAGGTGAATTTACTGCACAGCATTTTAGAAAAACTCTCCCTCCTTTTCTGGGCAGTATGGTTTTATATTCACAGCCTAAAAGATGTCTCAAGAAGTAATTGGTCCCGTTTTTTGTTACTGCTTAGAATCAACTATAAAAATGGCTGCAATTGTATTTAAAAGACTTTGTCAACATTTCTGGTGTTTGAAATAAACCCCCATCTAATACACTAGATCAGTTAGATCATTTGCAACTAATTCCTCTTGATAGAACAGCCAGTGTTCATCAGAGTCAGCTTTCACAGATTAGATACTGAAATTTCCAGACTGAATTCATCCCTACCATGTTCTGCATTATACTAGTCTGGAATTTCCACCAAAGACTTTGTGTACTTGAGCAGCTCAAAAGGCTTCAGGGAACAAATATTTGGATTGGTTCTACCTTCAGAGGAAGCTGCAGGCTCCATCTCAGAAGAGGCTGGGGGGAATACAGACTTTCAAATTTCAAATAGAACTCACCCAGCCAAAGGGATAAAGGAACAGTTCATTAACACCTCAGTCCTCGGGGCTGAGAACCCTGCCTGGCTGGTGTGCCCTGCCTGCCGGCGAATACCGAGTATTCCGAGGCAGGCAAGGCTGAGACAACAGAGATGGGGCACCACGGTGGGACTGTGGGAGCAAAATGCCTGCCTTCAGGTCCTGGTGCTGCTGTGTATGTGCTGGGAGACCCGAGGCAAGTTACATTACTTCTCTGAGCCCAGGTTTTCTTTTCCTCTCCACCCCTGCCCACCATTCTAGAAAGCAGAAGAGGTGCAAGACTATGCAAGTTATGACTGTGATTGTTGGCCCAGCATTCCTCTTCTGACTGCCTCAGCCATGCCTCCTCTAGGCCCATTAAACTAACATGCTCCTTCCATCAGAACCTGGGCGACACCCCTGCTTCTGGGGTACTGGGACCAAGGACTGTGTGCTATTAGCTGACTTCTAGGTCAGGCCTACAGGTGGTCAACACCTTACATTTATAGCTAGAACCTCTTGCTAGGCCCAAGGAGAACATTATATTGCATCTGCCCACCAAGGGAGGTTAAATTCTAAGTGCATTAGTTATACCATGTTCAGTACATGAGGTATAAGACAACATGTCAGGGCCTTCTGTCTGGGCGTTTAGGCTTGAGGGGTGGCTGACTGATTCTCTTTGTGATGAGTTGGGTCGAGCCTGTCTGTCTACAGTCTACCCGAACTTATTAAAAGTCTGGGGGCATTAGAAGCTGTGTTCCCAGTTAAATCTGCAGACCCTGGAGAGCTGAGCACCAAATACAGCTGCTACCTTATATTCCAGAAGTCTCAGTCCATTTGCCTGATGCTAGAAGCTGAATTTATGTAGGGATTTTCAGTGGTAGGAGGCTTAGCTCTATCTTTATTAGAGTCAGGCTGCGTTCTTTTGATAGGCTAGTGTCTACTTGCCACCAGTGGGGTGACAAGGGAAATGCACCTGTGTACTATCACACTAACTTCTGTGTAGCAGAAGTCTGTAGTGTGCACAGCCTCGAACTTGCTGGCTCTGCAGTGGAGGGTGACAGTCTTAAACCAGTCACCAACAGACATAGGCGCTATCATAAACTTTATAAGCCAGTCTAGAACTTCTGTAGGAAAAATTTGGTGGTTAGTACTTTCTTGAGGAACGTTTCTTTCATGAACCTGAGGGGACCTGCACGGTGCTGTTGAGGGAACAAAACCATGCTACCTACCATCAAACGCCTCTACCAAATCGATCGTAATCCACGACTCCACTATTTACTGGGGCTAACAAATGGTAGAGATCTATTCCAGATACTTCCAGCCCAGTAGAATTTGAAAATCCTAGAAACAGCCAAATCCTGCTCTGTCATTTCAATGATCTCTATAAGGTTCCAGGAGGAGATCTAAGGATAGCACAATTAAAGAATTTTAAGTGCTTCTTTATGGCTGAGCCCACCCTTGATGCCTTTCAATAGAGTTCTAGAAGAACTGTAGATTCATTAGAGTTCACTTCCCTTGGAATTAAAAAAAAAAAGATTAAGTATTTTCATATATCAGAATGTACTGGTTTGTACAGAAAAACTTGGCCGTAAGGTCCAAGAGCCACATTCTATGTCTGCAAATCTAAATGTTAGCATTCTTATAACCATGGATTTGTTGTATGGTCCAAATACTCAAAACAGGGAGCGGCATAGTCAAATAGAAGGGCAGAAGAAGGAGGAGAAAAATGGTTTCCAAGGAAAACATTGCAAGAATGTGTAGTTTGCTTCTAAATCCATATAGGAAGGTACTACAAGAAAGAGATATGCTTTAAAAAATTCCAAACAAAAACAAGAACCCAGTTTATAAGCAGTCCGGAAGGTGTCGGGTGAGAAAATAAAACTTTTTTTTTATCTTTAGGCTCTCCATCGAGAAAAAGATTCTCAAGTGAAGATATAGCCTGGGGACAAGACCAACTCCAAGGTATGGTTGTTGACTTAGAGCAGGAGAGACAAAAGACCAAATCCAGGTGGCTTTCAGGAAAACAGGGCCTCATGGTAAAGACCCAATCAGGAATATGGCTCTAATACTAAGTACAAAATATTAATTACAAAGTGACTTTTAGTAGATCTTTCAACTGAACAAGAAACTTCCTATAAACCTTAAGGGCATAGCACTATAGCCACCTGATGTGCCCAAAGTGTTGGTAATTAAATCTGGAGAGAGAAACATCTTGAAAGAAAACCCAAAACCAAAAACATGATTTTAACATATGGAATGACCTAGTATGGAAAACTAGTATGAACTACATAGAAAAGCCACTAAGTTACAGAGAAAGTGATATTGCCAAAGCACTACCAGCCTGAACTAAAATAGAAATTCTTTGAGAGAAAAAAAGATCTCTTAGCCCCAGTTTTATAGAGGTAGGAAACAGGCTGGGAAAACTTGGCCACACACACAAGGTATAAATTTCATTTTCCTTTTCAGCAACAAATGATGATGATGGGAAAGGATTTCTCAGAGGGCCAGAGCCAGGAACTGTAGAGAACAATGAACTGGGGATATTCCCCATCCCCCACTGCCACTCAGCTTGCCTCCTCCTGGGAACAGAACTACTGTCTAATGAAGAAACATTTTTTGCTCCTAGGACAGGGGAACTTGGCTGATTTCCCAAGAGGGATTTCAGAATTGCTAAAGACAAAGTTTCACCCCTTTGAATGGGAATGTTTACTGCGATTATCCTGTCCCTGTCATACTATTGCACGTTGTGTGGGTGTTGCGAAGGGGTGAGGCAGAGGCCCAGTTCACATCTGGGCCAGATGTAGATGAAACATCTCTAATGTGTCTGATACCATGATTGGGTGAGGCTTCTGGGTGTCCTTTTGTTGGGAATGGAGATGTTTTTCTATTGGAGGGATGTGAAAATGTGGCCAAGATTAACAGTAGTTGATTGAATTATTGACGTAAGTTTCTGTGTCTTCTTGCACTGCATCATTATCATGGCCCTATGAAGGGCAGAGTGTACTTCCCTGCCTTGTGACTTTGGGCTTGGCCTCTTGCTTTGATC